ATGTTGTGTGTGATTGTTATAACATGATTTTTGTATATCTAGTTCACCCTTCTACTTGTGTTTGTCTGTTGTTGTTTGTGTTGTGTTTTCTGTTGCAATGATCATTCACTTGGATGTGAGCAGAGGTGGATGAGATGCCTCTGGAGCAAGCCTTGGAGGGAGATGAAGCTGCCACTTAATCTAGTTAGGATTCCTAGTTGTTCATGTCTATTTTGAAATACTCTAGTGTGTTTAAAGTTTTAAATTATGGCTTCTTTTAGGATGTTCTTCTACCTATTCTCTTATATTAAAAATGTGAACTGCTATATTATATATTTATATATATAATCTGGGACGTTACACAATATTCATTACATCATCGTTAGATAAAAATTAAAACTAAACTCAAATTCAAATATATATATATATATATTAATAATACAATGAAATTAACAACAAATTAGATTAATGTACTCCAGCGGTCCTTCATGATCTGGTACGTCCCCTCTAGACTGAACTCCAGGCCGAGATCCTCTATATTGAAAGAGTGTACTCATTCTAGTGTTGGATCTTGTAGTAATATCTCACAGAAATTGCCATCAACTTCTTTGGTGGTTGAAAGTGTTATTTATGGCAGAGATGCTGACAAAGAAATTATCTTTAATTGGCTCACATCCGAAAGTGAGAATCATAACCAACCATCCATACTTTCAATTGTAGGCATGGGTGGATTGGGTAAGACCACACTAGCCCAGCATGTTTACACAATGACCCAAAGATGGACACTATTAAATTTGATATCAAAGTTTGGGTCTGTGTTTCAGATCATTTTGATGTTTTGACGGTCACAAAAACCATTCTTGAGGCCATCGATAATAAAAAAGATGATAACCTAGAAATGGTTCACAAAAAACTAAAAGAAAAATTGTCAGGAAGGAAATTTCTTCTTGTTTTGGATGATGTTTGGAATGAAAAACGAGAAGAATGGGAAGCTGTGCGAACTCCTCTTAGCTATGGGGCTCCAGGAAGTAGAATTATCGTCACAACACGTGCTGAGAGAGTTGCTTCTAACATGAGGTCTGAAGTGCATAGTCTGAAGCAATTAGAAGAGGATGAATGCTGGAAAGTTTTCATAAAACATGCACTAAAAGATGATGATCTTAAATTGAACGATGAGCAAAAGGAGATTGGAAGAAGGATAGTTGAGAAATGCAAAGGATTTCCTCTGGCTTTGAAAACAATTGGAAGTCTTTTGCACACAAAGTCATCCATTTCAGATTGGAAAATCTGAAAAAACTAATGACACAATGTGCTAAAACAACAGTCTATACCTGAATTCATAGTTTTTTTTATCCTAGTTCTTTTATTGGATTGCATCTTTTTCTGCAGGGTCATCAGATTGATGCCTATGGAATTGGTACATACCTGGTTACGTGTTATGCTCAAGCTGCTTTAGGTGTTGTTTTGAAGCTGGTTGAAATTAATAATAAACCTCGTATCAAACTTTCTGAAGCTGTCTCAAAGGTTTGAACACTAAACAGAATATAGAAGCGAATATATATAGATTGTATGGGAAAGAAGGTTATGCTTTGGTAGACATAATGACAGGAGAAGATGAACCCCCTACAAAGGGTTCAGAACCATCACATTTCTTAAATCACAATTAATCTTCCCATCATATCTAATTAAGATTTTAATTCATGAGAAAAAATAAATAAAACATAGCAGTCACATGTAGACAAAATAAGACTTATTATTTTATAAGGCGTGATGCTTTATTATTTTATAATTTTCCTTTTAAAATGCTTTTAACACCTTTACTTCAAATTCTGGTCAGGTTAGTGTGAGTGCAAAGTTATATGACTTCATTCATTTCTTGTGGGTCAATGAGGCACCTGTTGGAGAGCTGCGATAACAAGGTAAATAAATGGAGATGCACCTGATTATTTAATATCATGTGAAAATATCACGTAACAAAATTTCAGTCATGTTGGCTATAATCATAAATTTTGATATTTCAGTTATGTTGGTGCTTTAAAATCCATTAATAATTTATTATTATACAAAAATATATTAAAAACATTATTTCGATCCAAACGTTGTGGCGTTGTCTCTTTTGGAAAAATACATGACTTAATCATAAAACTAATCAACAGTCTTAAAAAGAATCAATTATTAAATTTTTTATAATAAAAAAATTACCCTAAATTGTAAAATTACATTAGGCACACTGTAATCCATTGAAAATAATAAAGATAAACGTAAACATATTTACAGAACATGTGAAATTGTTCTATGAACATCTACAGCTACACAATCAAGTACATGGTTTGCTCAATCACGCTTGATAATCTATTTATAATTCTTCATCACTCTGCTAAAAAACCCCTTGCTTCGGGGGGACACCAAACCTCCAGATTAAACTGATACGACCAGATCCTCCAGTCTCACCCAACCAAAGGCACAATGGTCCCTGATCTTCTGCGCTGTTGAAGCTGCCGGATCAATCATCGGCCTAATTTTTATCACCTCTTTCTCTATAGTTATTCTAGATTTGGCCTCCATCTGGAAGAGTCACGTCCAAAAACAGATGATTAATAATGATGAACCAAGTTGTATAGTTAGTTAATCATTATCCATATATTTAACTCAAACATCACAGTTAACAAATTATCCTCATCAATCTTGTCGTCGCATCCTTTAGTGAGTACCTTTTCTATACAAGAAACAGTGTCAAACACGTGGCAAAAATACGAGAGCTGCTTGTACAAGTCTGCTTCAGTGTACTGAAAAATCATATAAACATTTAGTATATTATAATATGCGTATGAAAGCACTTGTTAAAATTCAAAAGTTCGTGGAGTGAAACCTTTCTAAGCAGACGACCATTGCAGCGAGGATAATTTGGACAAACAGTTCCTCTCTCGGAATCACCAACCAACCGAATGCTGATACTTCGCGTTGTATGCTTACACGTTTCATCATCACACTGGATATGCAAAAACAGCCAGGGAAAATGACACTTAAACTTTCACAGGTTACTAATTTTCATAATATATTTAGAGAGGTGACTTACCGTTAGTAAACCTTTATAGTACATCAAAACAAACATCTCTGCTTGCCTTTTGACCTATGAAGTATAATGATGTGTAAGTATATTCTCGGGAATAATATTCTGTACTAAATCAAATCAAAAAACATGTTAGGTGTTACTTTAAATGTTCTATTTTGAAGTTCAGTCCAGAGTCTGAAACTGGTGTCCAAACTCTCCTAGATGAAGCGCACTTAAACAACAACACTTTTAGAGATGCCTTGAATCTTGAATTAGTCAAACCTGATTCGCTATCATCGCTGGAGAAATTTTGATATCTTCGGAGCATTTAGGACAACACAGCTTACGCCAGAAATTGAAGTCAGATTCCTCGGTGGATACGCTGGTTGTCATTCCACTTCCCAACAAGCAGCAAATAGATTTAGAGACGGGTGGGCAGTCAAATGTACCAGAGCAGCTGGGGCATGACAAGACCAATGGCTCACATCCTCGATACCTGAAATTATTTTATCACATCCAATCCGTGAATTAATAATTATGGATAGGGAAATCATCAGTAAAATCCATTGATCATAACACAGCTTTAGCAATAATCTACCAAAACCTAAATTAATAAAGCTAAAATACTGTTAATATTTTTTATAGCTTGTTCAAATCTCTGCAGAGTGAAACAGTGATCAGGATAAAAAAAAACTATACTCACAGATATCTACATGTAAAATTCATATGATATCCTCGATGGATACATGCCGGTTATGAACACGAATATTTTATTACTCACTTATTGACAAGACGTATAGGAGTATAAAGATATACAAACCAGCAAATACCCACTACTGGTTAATTATTTTTAGTAAATTTTATTTGAATTAAAAAAAACAAATAAAAACAAAGTTACTAGTAAAAAATATTAACCATTCAAGAATAACCCTTTGTCATTCCTACCCAGTATTTATATTAACATTGGTAGCGCATATCTGCATTTAAGAGATTTTGACAATTAATGGGATCTGAATTTAAAAACCAAGACATACCTCTCCTCGTCGTTAGCAGCAGACAAGAGTAAACTGCTAGAATCATCATTAAAAGCTTCACATGATTTATGATGAAACTGTAAAACAATATAGTTTTCCAATTTAGATAACTTGTACAAAAAATAAAAGTAAATACCTGGATCTGAATTCTGAGACAAACTAGGAAGTATATTTTACCTTTGAGGAGTCAAGCCCTGAGCAATCAGCCAGTCTTTCTGGGCTTGTTCCCTGAATTGATGCACAAAGGCGTGATACTACGGGATGGATCTACAAGAGCAAAACATAAAATACTCAATTAGAGTACAGTACTCGGTAACCATTGTTATCTATAAAATTAACCACTGTATTCTAAGACCTGTTGTGATAAATAGTAATCAATGTCAATCAGCAGCCATGTCCCTTGTTCCCCTTTAAGTTCTTCGGGATGTCTAGCACGTTGAGCAATGCCACCAGCACTGCCTGAACTGCCACCCTAATCAAAGCAAAACGTAATATTAAAAATACAAAAGTGAGAAAGAACATAACCAACGTGTCGATTACTTCATGAAAAAACATTTCCCAGGGTTACACTATTTGTCCTTTGATAGGAAGTGAATTACTAAATGACAAACCTGTTCATAACAATTTATATACGGGATTGTATCACCAACAGAACAGCCAGAAGAGTAACCTTGTTGCTTCAGTCTTTGTGCCACCTATACGTTGTGATCAAGAAAAGCATCCTCAGAAGTCAGAATCAAGTAGGTCGTAATAAAAGAACATAGATCAGACTATTTGAAGTAACAAATGAAAACAGCTTGGACTAACAAGAACATGTGGCTGGTTCTTGGCATCAGGATAAGCTTCAGGGGGTTTAGTCAATGTCTTCGTAGTGACATATTTCTCTAATGGTACTTGTCCGTTCCTCATTTCTTCTTGTACCTGTATTAAGATTAACATCGACCGGTTTGCAGGAAAAACAAACTTCAAACTCCAATATAAAAATCATTAATTAAAATGAAAGGAAAAATTTACATGAACAAAATCCCCAATGAACTTCAATTTCTTCAGAAACGGTTGATAACTAGATCAACCAAAAAAAAGTATTGCACATCATCGATTAATCCCATCAATCCCCAATGAACTTCAATTTCTTCAGAAACGGTTGATAACTAGATCAACCAAAAAAAACTATTCCACATCATCCATTAATCCCATCATATGTGGATTATACACCCAAGCACTCAAGTTTTTGGACCATCCTATAAATAGCATTCCACTCTTCCAGCAGAAAGTAATGAGCCCAAAGCTCCAGGAAGAAGTTTTCTAATCACATGGTAAGTTATTATAAACAAATGTCTGATACTTCAAGAAATCACAATTTACCTTCATGAGCGAGTTGTGGATTGACTCCACTACATCTTCACATGATCTGTGAGCATGGGAACCATAATATAACTAGTTGGTAAAAAAAATTGAGTGATTATGCATCTAGGCAGGCAAAGTGGCAAATTGGCAAAAAGGTAAGTAACATACCCTCCAGACAAAATTTGAGTCAAGCAATAATCTCCTAATTCTTTAGCTAATAAGCTCCAGTCACGACGAACAATGTCAAGACCTTTACGTTCAATCACCTGCACCATGCAATAACCTCACTGTATGATCTTATGACTGGTAATGTAAAAGAATAAGTTATCACAAGCATACCTCAAATGGGGTGCCATCTTTAAACAGCAACTTTACATGTAAACCATACTTCTTTTTCTTGAGAAGCAGCATTCTTTTATATAAACCATCAAGATCAATTTCCAAACATTTATATTTCTTATTGACCTGATGACAAATTAAAGCAGAAAACACATATCACGAGAAGATAGCTGAAAAAAGAAGAGGGAAAACTGCCATTTATTCTTGAAATATGGAAATATGCCAGAATTATCTGTAGTTGTAAACAGTGCAAACTAAACGTGCTAAGACAATGTTGCAGTCGTGTCCAAATTAAATCACCTAACAAAGAATCTTGAAATATATTTAACAAGGGGATAACAATGCTGAAAAATTATGGGTTAGCTCTAAAACACCATGTAGCACGGCATAAGAACAGAGGAAAGGATATGCAAATCTAAACCACCAAGCATTAAGAGATTTTCACAGCTAATAGTCAAATCTTACCTCTTGAATAACTTTTACAGCAATTTTATTAGCT